AAATGAGGACCCAGACTGTGGGGGCNATATGCTGACTCTGTAAACCGCTTAGAGAGGGCTGAAAGCCCTACGAAGCGGTATATAAGTCTAACAGCTATTGCTATTGCTATCAATCAAACCCGTAGGACTGATTTCATAGCGCCCAAAGCCTCAATCAAATGGTTTGATTGATTTGAGAGCACATAATCAATCAATCAAACAAGGAAGCCAACAAACAAACAATCAAATGAGTTTGATTGATGTGAGGACAGGTAATCCTAATTGGTTGATTGACTTGATATTACATAACGAAATATGCTTGATTGATTATGCCTTATTGATGTAAGAACCAGCTTAAGGAAATATCCTTGGGCAGCGTAAGAATTATAGAAATAAAATAATAAATAACGGTGAAGAAGGCGGACGTACGTTTATATTTCCGGCTGCGCTCTGTGCATGCTCAGAAGCAGGGTAGTACCCCAGGGGTCCCAAATGGAATCGGCCAAGCGTGCAAGGGAGAGAAAGCCCACCCACCACCCCAAGAGTGTTAGCCTATCATCTTTGAGATCCCCCTCGAGTGACGGCACTCTGCACTGGCTCAGGAGCTCGCTGCCGCAGGTTAGGAAGCTGCGATTTGGAAATCAAAGCAGCTAGTAAAGATTAATTTTTAAAAAAACCACTCCAGCGGGGCAAAACCACTCCAGCGGATCGGCGGGTCTCACCGTCCAAATTCAGAGGATCCGGGTTTCTCCGGACGCCTCTTTCCACGTCGCCCATGAGACCCACCGCGCTGTTACCCAGGTCGGCGGGCGGGCTGGACAGCAACCGAAAAGAGCCCCCGCGCCTCGCGCGGGATTCCCCAAGCTGCCAGTTGCGGCGCCATCCTTGCTCGCGCGGCGCGGATTCCAACCTCCGCTCGAGTGGCTGAGCCTGCGGAGGATTCATTCTGGGCACATTCACACGACCCGCCCAGCCACCTCGGGCTTGGCTCGCTTGGGCTTTGAGGAGGGACGGTGTACTCCCTCTCCTCCCTCCGTCTTTCCTCTTCCTTCCTTCCTTCCTTCCTTCCTTCCCATGTCTTCCCGCCCTCTCTTTCTCTTCCCATCTCCTTCCTTCCTTCCTTCCTTCCTTCCTTCCTTCCTTCCTTCCTTCCTTCCTTC